ACTTAGTAAGTAAGGTTTAGGGTTTAGGGTTTAGGGTACTTAGAGGATCATGGGACTTAGTAATTAGGGAAATAAATACTGTAACTATAGTTTATATGTAATTGTACCTTCAATTTGTGCCTTGGGGGCTTAGGGGTTTTAAAAAGGAACCCTAAGGGTTCCTATAAGGGATCTATAAGGGTATTATAGGGGCTTAGGGTATCGGGTTTAGGGTTTGGGGTTTCGGGTTTGGGTTTTAGGGTTTAGGGTTCTTAGGAGGGTAAGGGTCCATGTACCCAAATTGCATGTACTTTGGTCCCAAAGTACCTATATGGGGACTACTTTAAGGCCAATGTATATGCTAGTTGAGTACAACATGGACCTTAGGGTTAGGGTATCGGGTTTAGGGTTTAGGGTTTGGGGTTTAGGGTTTAGGGCTCTTAGGGTTTAGGGTTCTTAGCACATCAGGATTGACGTTTACCTCAATCCGAAGCCCTAAACCCCAAATCCCAAGCCCTAAACCCTAAATCCTAAAGCCTAAGCCCGAAACCCTAAACCTTAAGCCCTAAACCCTAAGCCCCGAAGCCCTAAACCCTAATATACCATATCCCCAAGGGCGACCCTCGAACCGCAGAGCTCGTCCTTCCCAATAACACCAGGGGTTTTGGGGTTTAGGGTTTCGAGTTTAACGGTTTAGGGTTCAGGGTTTAGAGTTTAGGGGTTAGGGTTTCGAGTTTAGGGTTTAGGGGCTTCGGGCCTGGTGTTCAGGGCTTCGGGCTTAAGGCTTGGAGTTAGGGCTTGGGTTATAGAGTCGGTGGCTTTTTCTGGCATGGAGGCCTCAACTCTTTAATGGGAAGCCTTTGAACAAAAACCCAAACAAACCCTCGAGGAGCCTAATGTACACTGAACTCTACGACCCGACGTATATACCCCTAAACCACAGACAACCCAGAAAAAAAAAATCCCCTTTCCCCAAGAACCCTTTAACCAGATGTCTGCGACAGCCACGTCATAAGCGAGCCTCTAAACAGCACCCTTAAACCAAGACCCTGCAAAAAAGCTACGAAGACACCACTGCAACCCCCTCTAAAAAGCACCCTTAAAGGAAGACCCTGCCAAAAAGCTGTGAGGACACCACGAAACGCAAAACAAAGAAGCGCACCCCTAAACCAAGACCCTGCAACAAAAGCTACGAAGACACCACTGAAACACAACACAAAGAAGCGCACCCCTAAACCAAGACCCTGCAAAAAGCTATGAGGACACCACTGCAACGCAAAAAAAAAAAAGAGCGCACCCTTACAGGAAGACCCTGCAAAAAAGCTACGAGGACACCACTGAAACGCAAAACCAAAGAAGCGCAGGCGCCTTGTGGCTGCAGGTCGACTCGACGAGTTGGAGCGTGCGCAGGAGCAGCGGGAAGGTCACCGGGAAGACAAGCAGCTGTGTGCAGAGCCAGCCTTGGGTTTAGGGTTCAGGGGTTTAGGGCTTTAGGGGTTTAGGGGCTTAGGGGTTTAGGGGTTTAGGGTTTAGGGGTTTAGGGGTTTAGGGTTTAGGATTTTAGGGTTTAGAGCCGACGGGTGTCGACCAGGGCTGCCGAGTGGCCTTTACTAGAACCCCGATGGTCCTCGATAGCTGCAGGGTATACCAGAGGGTAGTAGTCTAGGTATGAGATTGGTATGAGGGTTCCTTTAGGGCTCGAACTAGTCTCCAAAGGGCTCACTATAAGGGTTCTAGAGATGACCCATCGGCGTAGGAGATGTTAGGGCGAGGTGTCTGGCTTAGGGGGATGGGGCGTATCAGATTTGAGGCAGTACCTCGATGAAGCTAATTACCGTGTAATGGGTTTGGGGCTTAGGGGTCAAGGGTTTGGGGCTTTAGGGGTTTAGGAAAGGGTCCCGGTGCAGGGCCATGCTTGCAATGATAATGATATATCACCCCCTCCCTGTCCGTACCACTACCCCCGAAAGCCCATTGACTCACGCCGAAACGCTCAACCCTATATTCATAAATTCGTAAATAAACCATAAACACCGAAATCACAAACTGTATGAAACTCTCAGGCAAAGCCACTCCCTATATTCATAAATTCATAAACCATAAACACCGAAATTTTTAAACTGCATGAAACTCTCCGGCAAAGCCACTCGGACCGGAGAAAAGCCTGAGAGTCTATTAATGGCATCCTGGGAGCAGGTGGCGAAGGTGACCATCAAGTGATTCGGGCTATCAAAGCCCATGGTCGAGTATGACATGGTGCAGTCGCCATAGGCGAAGGGAGTGACCTTGAAAGTTGCTTGGCGGCTTTTCTATTGGCTTTACGGCTTTCGGGTTGAGGGTTTAGATAATTTTCGGGCTTCTGGCTTCGGGCTTGCATGGGCTATCGGCCACAGAAGCTGCTTTGCGAGCGAGGTGCATTGACAGCAGCATAGAAGGACATCGGCAGGAAGCAGATGTAGCAAAGGTGCAGCGGTACTTCCTTCTGAGGAGTTTTCTGACATCCCTTCGGCGGCTTACGTTCCCGCTTTGCAAGCTAGGCTTTTACAGAATCCCCGTTTTGATGCATTACTTTCTCCAGGAACTCCTGACTGAATGAGTAAGAGTCTCGACGCCTATGGTAGGCGGATACTTACCTGGCCTATCTTTGACTAAACACAGGTAGCATTCTTCGGATCTGCAATCTTTGTTATTTCATCACATGGTGTAAGGGCGAAGGATATGAGGTACGAGGGGGGGACCTAGTGCACGCAGCTGCATGGCCTTTTGGTCACCAATGCTGTCCAAGCATGCCGCTCGCAGCGGGCCCTGCACGTAGTTGTTGAACCGCTCTAGTGCTTCTTCATGCCTCGGCGCTCTCGAAACCCTAAACCCTAAACCCGAAACCCTAAACCAACCCGGAATCTAAAGCCTTAAAGCCTCCATGACAACAGTAGGTCATGACCCCTTTTATGAAACGGTAGAGCCCTTAAACGCCGTAGGTTATGACGCCCGTATACTAAACGGTAGAGCCCTTAGAAAACGGTAGGTTTTTGGAGCCGCAGGAGCAATAAGTCATGCTACTTGGAGGATGATGGGACTTAGTAAGTAAGGTTCTAAGTGCCTTAATTGGAGTTATAATTAAGTATAACTGTACTTGCCTTCTTTATAACCCTAATTACTAAGTCCCATGATCCTCTAGGTACAGACCGTTGAGACGTCAGAAGCCCGAGAGGCTTCAGGCAAGAGACCCTCGCTCCAGCGTGGAATCTACGGCTTAGGGCTTTTAGGGCTTTAGGGGGGTTTAGGGTTTTTAGGGGTTTGTGGGTTTAGGGCTTTAGGGGATTAGGGCTTTCAGGGATTAGGGATTTAGGGGTTTATGGGTTTAGGGTCTACGGTTTAGGGTTTACGGTTTTAGGGGCCGTAGTAACTGGACTAGAGCTCTGGGCCCAGTATACTATACATACGTGCTTCTACATCCATCCATCCAGCCATCCCTCCATGCATGCATGCATTCATAGATGGGTAATTCTCTAAGTTAGGGTCCCCCTTTTGGCCCCCCCCCCTGTAGTACGGCATTCTTATAGCAAACGGGACATTAAAAGGGACTCAGCTACCCATATGCATAGACTGTACGTGCTTCGGGTTGGCTTGTTGCCGTTGCTGCCGGCTTGGTGGGTGAGGATGCTACAGGGACCGAGTACTTACCAAGGACAACTTAAACCCTGAACCTTGAAAAAAAAATGACGTGGAACCTTAAACTCCTGAGCCTTTGACCCTCCTTGGGATGAGATCATCCCCTGTAGAGCTGAAAACTTACGCTGAAAGTGTACACTTTAAGGCTTATATGACCTCAGCAACTAAGACTGGATCCTAAACCAAAAAAGGGAACTACAATGGAGACTAAGAAGATAAATTAGGATCCTAAGCCCAAAAAGGGTACTACAATGGAGACTACAGGTACTCTCTCCAAAACCCGAAACCTTTCGCGAGCGAGGCGCGAGTCCTCAGCCTCGACAGGGGCGGCCGCCCCAGCTGCGCCTGCGACGATGACTTCGTGGTCAATCTCCGGCTGGAAGTGCAGGGCGACCTTGAAAGCGAAGCGGTGTTAGGACTTTAGGGTTTCGGTTTTAGGATTTTAGGCTGGTAGGTTTTAAGGTTATTGTGTTTGTTGGGAGTTTGGGTGAGGGCTTTATGGCATTTGGGTTTAGTGTTTGCGGCTTTAGGGCTTCGATTCTCAGCTCAAGGTTTTTTGTTGTTGATGAACCTTTTTCCCTTGTTCAGAGTAGCTTGGGAGTTTAATCCCGGGGCTTCAGGGCTGCGGATCTGGGGCTTTGGAACGCTTGGGCTTGAACAAAACTGCTGTTTGCCAACGAAAGTATGTGCCGACCTACCCAGAATCAGAAACCACAAAAACAAACGACAACTAACCCCACACCCGAAAACCGGCCAAAGGCACTTGCTCCTCCACCAGTGGCCGATCTGCTTCCACGGAGCACCTTATCGATCAAATGGCCCTTACCAGTCGGGTACTTGTACCCTTAAACTATGAATCCCTAAATAGTAACTCAAGCTTTCACTCTTTCAGGCTACATTTCGTCCCCTGAACCCACCAACCCTACACCCACTGAAAACATGACAACGCCCTTAACGGAACCCCTTCTAGTAACCCTTACTTATAGTAACCCTTAAAGGAACCCGTGAAACAAAACTTAAAGGAGCCTTATAGCAACCCTTTAAGGAGCCCTTGAAATAACACTTAAAGGAACCTTATAGTAACCCTTAAAGGAACCCTTGAAATAAAACTTCAAGGAGCCTTATAGTAAATCTTAAAAGAACCCTTGAAACAAAACTTAAAGGAGCCTTATAGTAACCCTTTAAGGAACCCTTGAAATAAAAACTTAACGGAACCTTATAGTAACCCTTAAAGGTACCCTTGAAAAAACTTAAAGGAGCCTTACAGTAGACCTTAACGGAACCCTTGAAGTAACCTAAACCCTAAACCCTAAACCCTAAACTTATAAACCCTAAACCTTATAGTAACCCTTAAAGGTACCCTTGGAATAATAATTAAAGGAACCTTATAGTGGTCCTTGAAGAAGTAACCTATTTTTGTGCTTCAGGCACTTGGCGTTCTTCAGGTCGAAGCTTGCCATCTGCTCAAGCATCAGCTCATGCCCTTGTATCTTCCTCTCTGGGGTAGGTTAGGGTTTAGGGGTTCAGGGGTTTAGGGGTTTAGGGTTTAGGGTTTTAGGTGTTTAGGGTTTAGGGTATTAGGGGTTTAGGGGTTTAGGGTTTAGGGGTTTAGGGTTTCGGGTTTGGGGTTTAGGGTTTGGGGGTAGGGCTTGGGGGTCAGGGCTCAGGCATCTGGGCGGATGCTGGTAGGGTATTCCCCCACAAATTTGAAGGTTACCTTTTCTGCCCCCAAAAAGGTCCTTTTGAAGGATAGGAGAGTGGGCAAAGCCACTGGGAGGTAGCACATGAAGCTGGGGAAGACCTCCAAAAACATGTGGATGAAGGTCCGCACGCTCTGGGAACCTCCGAGGAGCTCTGCGCCATGCTTGGAGATAGCCTCAATGCTTTCTTCGTATCCTTCACCGCTTGCGGATCTCTGCATGCAGCAGACAAGGGTGACCCCCAGCAGGTCCAGCAGAACAGAAGACAGCATCCACGGAGCAAGCCACAGCGGCAGGAATTCCATCTTGGGGACACATCGGCTCAATGAGGGCTCACGAACCCTTTAACCCTAAATTTTGTAAAGGTTGCCAGTATACCAGTATGACTCAATTTGCCCTCAACCCTTAACCCCAGACCCAACGGACCCAACCCCTCAAACCTAATAGCAAAACCTCCTAGTAAGAATTGCCCCAACTTACCAGTCTTACCCTTAACTCCTAAACCCTAAATCCTAAACCTTAACCTGTCTTCAACGGCTTCTTCTGCCTTTTCTGGGCTGGCCGAGTACTTTGCGAATGTGGCCATCTCCATGTTGCACCATAGCCTCGCTTTCGAAGTGTCAAGCGCAAAGCAACTACAAGAACTTGACTCTGCCAGAATCACACACTTGGAGGATCATGGGACTTAGTAATTCGAGTTATAAATAAAGTAAGTATGCTTATATTTAATTATCTTATAAATAAAGTAAGTATGGTTATATTTAAATATAGCTCCAATTAAGGTACTTATAGCCTTACTTACTAAGTCCCATGATCCTCCAAGCAAGCCATGTAGCTGCCTGTGTCCTACACTGGTACACAGATCTGTATACGAGTATGTAACTAGCTACCCTGCCAGCCTCTCGAAGTAGGTGTCGTCCCAGAGAACGAGCATCCTAGCACTGGCTTGCAAGAACTAATGTAGGGGCCTAAATAATTACCTATACTATTTTGGGGGCTCCTTATTATGATTATAGTATAATGGGCCCCAAAACTCTATTCTAATCATTAAGGCCTCTATATTATTCATATACGGTCCTGAAAAAGTGAAGTGAAATAGGGCAAATAGGGTTGCCTTACGGGGCTTCTTTAAAGGGCTACTGACAAATTCAAGACACGGGCCTGAAGGGGTTTAAATGTGCTTTTTAGAAGAATTTAAGGGGCATAATTCTGTAGCATGGAATACCCCTAAACCCTAAACCCTAAACCCTATTAATAATGCTTGTACCTCCAAAGCAACCCTTGGCCTTCAACCCTTCACCTGGGCTCAGGGGAAAAGCGTGATGCCTGCACCGTGCCACCTTACCAATCCAAGGCCCTCACCCGTGTCTGCTGTATTCAAGGGACAAAAGAGAGAGACCGTTCAAGCGACCTTTGGGATTGTATAGGGGCTTTATGAGACTATACAAGGGGTATATAAGGGTTACATAGGGTATTAGGCAATCAGACCCTAAACTCTAAACCTTGGGGACTGCCCCTACACAGGGACAGTCTAGATGAGGGCTAGTATTCAGGGCCTTATATATATCCATGCTATGAATATTACTCCACTGTTACTCAGTCGGGGCAATATCCAACCTAAACCCTAAACCCTAAACTTTATCAACTCAATGAATCCAAGCACCCTAGACGACTCCATCCGGCCCTCTAAAAACATATTCAGAAGCCCATAGCCACTTGCAGCGACATCCCTAAGCCTGAAACCTACAGCCCAAACCCTAAACCAGTAAACTGGCGGCACTGGTGAAACAGTGGCACCCTCGTTGAAACCTTCGAGATCCTACATGAAGCCTCCTCGGGATGCCTGTTAAAGCCCATCCGAAACTGTAATAAAGCCTTCATAAGATCTCTTTAGGGTCTAGGGTGTATATCGAGCCTAAGGCTCATAGGTTCATAGGGTTTAGGGTTTAGCCTCAAGCCGTCGGGGTTCCTTCAGGAGCAACTAACCCTGAAAAGTAGGGCCCTGTACCCAGATACTGTTAATCCCTGTATGGTATATGAACCCTAAAACCTTTTAGGGCTCTTTTCGTCCTTAACCCCTAATTAAACCCTAATCCCTTATAAGAACCCTTAAAAGGAACCCTAAAACCTTTTAGGGCTCATTTCGTCCTTAAGGTTAGGGCTGCTCCCCCTCTCCTTGAAGACCTGGCGACGAACACCGGCAGCGCGGCCACCTGCTGCGCCTGCGATGGCGACCACATTGGGAGTTTCCGAAAGTTAGGGTACCTTAAGTCCTTATAATAAGGATCCTACTATATATATGGTGCTATATTAGGGTCCCCTATTTTCGGAAAGTCCCACATTGGGAAAGCATGCGGTGCATTACATTCAGGGCTGAGGCTTCAGGAGGGTTTAGGGTTGGGTACTGCCCCCATACAGTAACAGTCAAGTCTATCATAGGGCTACTATTCAGGGCCTGAAAGATCCATGTTATGAAAGGAACTCAACTGTTACTGAGTGGGGGCAGTATCCAAGGATTAGGAAATTTAGTGATTTGGGGGGTTGGGGTGTCAGCGTGAAACTGCATAGGATTTGCGGCATCCTCGGATTTGTGCGAAGACCGTTTGAGCTCCGAGGATATTGCTGCGGGTCTTAATGCACCGCACACCTTCAACTCTGATAACCTTATAGAAACCAGTTTAGAACCCTGTCAAAAAGGTCCCTTTGCGATCTCCTGTAAAGCATTTCTAGAACTCTCACAGATGAATACTAATAGTTATTATAACAGAACCCTAAACCCTGAGAACCCACGAAGATTTCTATGCAGAGGAGTCATGAATGTAAACCGTCTTTTGCAGCAGCTGCACAGTCCTCTGAATCCTCTGATGGCTTTCTGTGTTCTTCTTAAGGGATGCAGTTTGAGTTAGATCCCCTAGTATGGTAACTTGTAAGAAGCTGGCTATCAGGAGCCCAGCTTTCGCTCCACGTCTTCATACGCTGTCAAACACCCTGACCGCTCAGATGTTCGTGCCAGCCCGAAGCTACAACCATGGTATACAACCACTGAATTTCCAGCATCAGGCGTAAAACCCTACAACCCTAAACTAACCCTAACCCTGACAACCCCCAAACCCTAAACTTCCTTAAACCGAAGCCGTAAACCGACGCCCCATGGGACCCTGCTCCACAACGCTTCAGGAAGAGAATCCGTGAGAGGGCTTCGGTTTAGACCCTTATAAACCTTAAACCCTAAACCCCTATAAACCCTAAACCCTTAGGGTTTAGAGTTTAGGCTTTCCTGTGTCGCAGCCAGCATGCCTTGAGATCATGCTTCGTCTGGTGGATGCAGAGTTTGTCGAGCCAGAAGGACGGCGCGAAGCAGCCTCAGGGCGGGGTGGTGTTTCGGGGTTTAAGGGCCCAGGGGTTGCAGGGTTTACGGTTTAGGGCTTTAAAGGGTTTAGGGGTTGCAGGGTTTAGGGATTAGGGCTTTAAGGGTTTAGGGCTTAAGCGTTTAGGGGTTGCAGGGTTTATAGGGATTAGGGCAGTCGTGAGTGGGTTCAGCTCCGAATTCCTCTTTGCAAGGCGTATCCTACTATGCATTTCATTCTGGTGTCGATGTGGTTACCCATAGGCCCCTAAGTAGTTCTTTTTTATGGTTTATATTTAGAATCCAGGGAATCCCAAAAAGGAAAGGGGCCCTTGGGTAGAGTGATTCCAAGTCCAGATAAACCTTTGCCACATTAGGAAAGTGCTGCTCATGAAGTGCACCAAGTGGCCGCCGGTCAGCTGCTGGCCAAAGAAGAAGAAAACAAAGAATACCAGTACCGGAAGCTCGATAAGCAGGGGAAAAAGATAGTAGCGGTCGCAGATGCCCCTCACATACGCCTCCGCGCTGGAAAGGATAGGGATTCAGCATTCGGCTGCGACTTTAGCTTGAAGATTACTGTAAACCCCTGATTCATAAACCATTCTCCCTGAATACGGACTTTTTTATCTGGATCCCAGCTGAAGTATGGCTGGGTAATCGGTGGTCTACATTATATTGTATCCCCTGAAACCCTAGAAAGCCATAGACGCACCCTGATAAAGACCCCATACAACCCTACAGCTGCAAAGCCTGACAAGAGGCCTGCAACTCCTTCTTTGCCTCGAGTCAACTAACTCATGCCTCGTGTACCCTTTCTTCCACAGCGGGACGCTTTGCAGAAATGCGCTGATCATGATTCGGGTTGGGGGGGGGGGTTGGCGGCTTGAGGGTTCGAGGCTTGTCTGGGGTTTCGGGCTCTGGGTTAAGTTTGGGTTTAGGGCTTGGGGTCTATAGGGTTTAGGGTTAGGTGCATGGGTGCATGACTGCCAACGCACGGAGAGCACTTTCATGCACCAGCTGCATTGAGAACTGTCAGTCTGGCATGCCATTCAGCCCTAGACAATTGATCCAACGGCTAAACACAACTGACCAATGAACATCCCATAAACCCTAATCCCTAAACGGTTCAGGATTTTGGGTTTCGGGACAAACATGGAAGCCTGGTCTCGATAGCCTTACGTTCAAACCCCAAACGCCCTAATCCCTAAACTCCTAATATAACCTTACTGCTATAGGGCTTACAGGGTTAGGGCTTTTACCCTAAACCCCTAATTCTCAACCCCGTACTTAAGCCCTAAACCCAAACACTCAACCCTCAACCCTATAGACCTAAACCCTGAACCTAGAACCCGAAGCTCAACTCTAGACCATCAGGGTTCGAGGCTCACGGTCTGAGGACTCTCGCAGGGCCTGCACGATGCAAAGGCTGGCGACGGCGAGCACCCAGCAGACGAGCGCTGACTTCACCGCTATGCCCAAGTTGAGAAAGTAGCACATGCTCAAGTACCTTTAGGGGGTTTCGGTTTAGGATTTAGCTTAGGTGCTTCGGCACATGCTCAGGTGCCTTTCAACGATTTAGGAAATGGGTGTTCGGGTAGTGTTTGCTGGTTAAGCCTCACTGTAGAGTTGGGTGTCTGTAAGCATGGTCCAAGTGGGGTTTCGTCGGGCTTCGTACAGGGCGGCCTGAACATTCGGGGTACGGTGCAAGGCTATGTTATGCTGTGGTTGCCAAGGGACTATAGGGCTAATTTTCCTGACATGTACACCATCGCTGCAGGTACGACCCGGAAGAGGTTGCTACATTCCTTTACCCGACTGTACCTATAGTCTCCTTATTAGGAGTCTCCTTTGCAGTTCCCTTTTGGGTTACGTTATAGATATAGCTGCTTACCACCCTAAACCCTAAACCCTAAACCCTAGTTGATCAGGTCGGCATTAACATCTCAATTTCTGCCAGGAGACTTCGGCCAGCGCCCCGAGCTCCAAGTGTGGCTGATAAACACCTCAGGAAGGGTTTAGGGTTTAGGGGTTAGGGGTTTAGGGTTTAGGAGTTTAGGGGTTTAGGGGTTTAGGAGTTTAGGGGTTTAGGGTTTAGGGGTTTAGGGTTTAGGGGAATCACGTGGGTACCCTAAAAGGGACCCTCATTTGGAGAACTACCCACGTGCACAGAATCACATGATTGCGGCGCCCAAGCCTTGAAACCCAACACCCCCAACATCTGAACTCACAGCCCGCAACACCCCCAAAAAACCCTAAAAACCCTGAAGCCCTAAACCCTAAAACCATCATAAGCGCCCAAGCCCTAAAACCCCTAAAACCCTAAAACCCTAAACCCCAAAACCCCAAAACCCTATAAACCCTAAACGCTAAACCAATATATAGATCCCTTTAAAAAGGAATCCTGGCTCCCCGAAGCGGAGTCCTCGTCCAG